GAGGCGCTGGAGAAGTACGGCGTGAGGCTGTCGGGCGCCATCACGTACAGCGCGCCCATCGGGAAGGACGCCCTCTCCTTCAACAAGGCCCAGCGTCAGCACAACGCACACCAGCACCACCACCACCCCCCCCCCCCCCCCTGAGGGAAATTTCATCCCTTGCCCTCCGCACTGCGCCGGTCAGCGCACACCCTCCACCGACCAGCAGGGTACCGGGGGGAAATCCTTCTCCGCTCTCGCCGCCACACCGCCCCTCTGGGGCGCAGGGACAAGTCACGTGGGAACGCCTCCTCCCTCCCCCCCTGCCTCGCTTGGTGGCTGCGTGCCTGGCTTGCGCCGCGGTGCTTGAGACGCGCGCCGCTTTGCGCCGCTCCTGCTTGCAGAGGACTGCGAGGTGGGCGAGTGGGGGCCGTGGCCCGAGTGCCCCGTGACCTGCGGCCGCGGCATGCGCCACCGCCAGCGCTTCTACCTCAAGCCGGACGCCACGGAGCGCGGCTGCAAGCGGCTCGTCACCCTCCGCCAGCAGTGCTACTCCAGCCGGCTCAAGCAGTGCCCCGAGTAAGTATAGGCCGACCCCCGACCGAGGGGTACTTCGTAGTACTTCTCTAAAAATAACATCAGTGAACGACATCCAAAACCTTTTGTTAATTTAAAAAATTCAGTTGAAAAATAATGGAAAAATCCATTTTAAAAAATCAGAAAAAACTTTAAGGATCTTTTAAGAAAACTCAAGTAAAAACAGTAAAGTTGGTAAACGCTTGAATGTACCGGGTGTCCAGGCTAAGACATGCCAGTACGTTGAGTTGCCTGTGCACTGGCTGCAGGGGCAGCAAGTGCGGGCGGGTGGCGGGGGAGTGGTGGGGGAGCTACCACTTCCCCGCCGCGCCACCCAACCCGCGCCTTGTGCCCCTGCAGCCAGTGCATAGGCAACCCAACGTACTGGCATGTCTTAGCCTGGACACCCGGTATAGTGAAGTACCCCTCGGGCCCCGGCCCCTGCCGCCGCCGCGCGGGCAGGCCACCCAACTGACGCTCGCGTCGCTCGCGCTGCCCGCAGCCTGGGCGGCTACGGGAACGCCGAGGACGACCCCGAGTGCGAGCTGACGCCCTGGACGTCGTGGTCCTCCTGCTCGTCGACCTGCGGCCAGGGCACGCGCACGCGCTCGCGCCGCTTCAAGCACCGCGCGGGCAAGCGCTGCGCCGTGGCCAAGAACCCGCCGCACCTGCAGCAGAACGAGCCGTGCCTCGAGGAAGACGGCGCCGACTGCGGCGGCGCGGACACGGTGCGTATGGTTTGTCACATTTTCTGTCCACCTCCAGCCCCACTGCCGGGCAGCTCACAGACCCGGGTGCTCAGCTCCAGCGCTATACACTCTCTTGCAGGCGGAGCCCGGCGGTGGCTGCCTGCTGTCCGAGTGGAGCCAGTGGTCCGTGTGCTCGGCGTCGTGCGGCCGCGGGGAGCAGCACCGCGAGCGCGTCGTCATGTCCAACACGGAGGACGACGCGGGGCCGTGCGCCAACGCCAGGATGCAGGAGCGCGTCTTCTGCGTTGCCGAGACTCCCTCCTGCCACCTCAGCCCCGAGCAGGCCAGAGGTGAGTCAGACGAGGGGGCACCAACTCCGAAATTTCGTGCACTGTGAATACACTCTAATAGTGAATATCACTGAATAATCACTGAATATCGCCTGAATACTGGAGGTATTAATCCCCTCGTGAACCGTGAATACTAGAAGTCACTGCCCCCTCGGAGTCAGATTAGCTGTCGTAGCTAAGCCATAGCATTAATAGCTAAAAACGGGAACACAGATCGTTTAGCTATGTAGCTCAAAGTTAGGTTCAGCCCTGATGCGCAATGTTTTAAACATTGTAGTTGTACCTAGTAGGTACACACCTTTACTTTTAGCTACATAGCTGAACATTTAGTTACCCCTAATTAGCTATTAGATTAACTAGCTACTACACAGCTAATCTTTTCGCGTCTTTTTGTTCCGTGCGCACGGCGCTTAAGCGAGGCAGCAACGATGCGTCATCTTTTAGGTGCATTTCTCACGCATTGAACAATTGAACCGCATTTAATGCGTTGGCACTTCTTGCGAACATTTTAAGCGCAGTTATAGGCGCAACGAAGCACACATAATGCGCTGGCTCTGGGTGGAGCTCATGGGATGACAGTGATTAGCGCCAAATGGAAAGTGGACGTTTCTGCCGGCAACCCTGCAGTGGAACACCCAAGGCCCAAGGCTCAATGCACCCGCTCTATCAGGGCGCAAGTTGTGCCAGTCCTTAACACGCCGTGCTCGTTTTTTTAATCTGTTGGCCAGGGTGGCGAAAGGGAGGGGAAAGAGGAAGGGAATGCTACAGAGTGTCTCATCGGCTGGCTTTGGTAAGCTCGGTGGTCGCAATGGCGTGATAAGTAACCCGTCGTCGGTCAGGGCGTAGGCGGGGCGAGGAGGGAAGGGGCGGGTCGTGGTGGAGCGGGATGGAGCGGGATGGAGCGGGGTGGAGCGGGGTGCAGGGTGGGGTGGCGGGACGGGGAACTGTGTGGGGCAGGGCGGCGATGAGCCGACGTGCCTGTCCTCATGATTAGGAAGAGTAGTTGGAAGCATTTTCTGAAAAAAAGTGAGACGACTTCGGCCTCAGAGTCTGGTCTGGCTTGGACATTCTAGGCCAAGTGCATGTGAACTTTTAACGTTAAAAATAGGTAAATTGGGGTAGATTTTGGTTTTGAGTGTACGCACTCAAAATGCCGCAAAGGTGCCCACGTACGTTGTACACATTTGCTACGCCTTTTCCGGTTGAGATGTGCTGTACTTTGGAACACAATGGTTCAAGCATTATTATCATTTTATCATTTAAAACGAATGAATGCATTTTGGTTATACCGCGTTGCCCATTCCCACGGCGCCCAAACACAAAATGTTGCCCAAAAAGATCCCAAGTTTCTGGGAAGAAACGCCTCATAATCCCGCCGCAGACTCTTGCAAACTGTCGATGTCACTAATTGTCGTGACTAACTGTGTTGTGTTGAATGGGTCGGCTTGCTTATTCTTCCACAACTATGAATGACACATGTTTCGGTACGGTCCTATTCGGTCTCTGCAGAGGTGTGTCGCTTGTCCGCGGACCCCGGCCCTTGCCGCGGCCACCTGCAGCGCTGGTTCTACCACGCCGAGTCGCAGGTCTGCCACGCGTTCGAGTACGGAGGCTGTCGCGGCAACAAGAACAACTTCGCCACGCTGGCCGAATGCGAACGCCTCTGCGCCGCCAACCGAGGTAAGAATGGTGGTAATAGTAGGTAGCTAGGCATTTTAGAAAAACTCAATCAAGATCTATTTTCTTAAATTTAAGAATATTAATATTTTCAATATTAATATTGAAAATTGCCATTAATACATGAGGAAAGAAAAGTTGTCGAAAACTACACACTGAGCGGAGTGCGAGAGTGTTAAGTAGTGTAAGGGCTTCGGCAGGTTAACTAGACTCTTTATTGATAAATGTCCAGCCGTGTCAAACGCGTTCCCGCCCTCACGTGATACTGTTGAATAAGTCCTGGTGTACTGGTGTTTGAGTGGGCTTGTGCGGTGCGAACAAGGCAGCTGCATCGGCGGCCACGCGCCAACACCAGGACGCTGAGGAGGGGAGGGCGGGGTGGGGGGCGGTCAGTGCAGCGGGAGCAGACTCAGGGGCTCTACTCATTCAGGCGCAAAAGACGCGGCATCTCAGACAATGTACAGCCGGGCGGGGCGGGCGTGGCGTGGAGGGCGCATCGCCTATCGAGTGCACTTTGGTCCCCCTATCCCGGCCCGCCGTCGCCGTGGCAAAATAAATTTTAAAAAATGTTCAAATACCAATGACCGACTTTGTTTGGTCCGTGCATCGCATATTGTTAAGAACTTCGAAGGTTCCTTCAGGGGATTCCCATTTGAACTTCCGTAGACACTCTTGGACACGACCGGCAGCAAATTGATGAAATACACATTGTAAAGAAAATTGCAGTGACTAAATTAAGTTTCAAGACAAATGGCTCTGTAACTGGTTGTCACTGTCACGCTTGCAGGGGACAAGCCGCTGCTCGCAGACCGCCAGGAGGCGCTGGAGAAGTACGGCGTGAGGCTGTCGGGCGCCATCACGTACAGCGCCCCCATCGGGAAGGACGCCCTCTCCTTCAACAAGGCCCAGCGGCAGCACAACGCACACCAGCACCACCACCATCACCACCACGGCAGCAAGCACCACGTCGCTGCGCACAGCACCACCACGACAGCGCCCACTCCTGGTGCATACCATGAAGCAGTTTAGAAAGATAGTGAAAAGCGCTAATTTGGATATGATTTTTATCGTAGTTCATCTCATATTATTTTTTTCGTTTTAATTGTTTTAGAAAAACGTGACCACACGCTCTACGTAGTTTGCTTTTCCCTCATAGTATCTCAATATCGTGAAAGACTCGACGATATCACGTGCTACGTTTTTATTTTTGTTACTGTTTTCTTTCTTTCAGTATGACTAAGTTAGCATCATGTACGTT